GAGTGTTGAGTCCACCCAGAGACACCTGGAAGAAAGGCCTGGCAATCTACCTCTGACAAAAAGCAGCCGCCAAAACCCTGTGGAACATTTCTGCAGTCAGAATTTGACCAAACAAGTAATCACATGCACTGATTGCTGGTGATGGGATGCGAAAGGTAGAAGCAAAGAAGTATTGAGAGCTGAATACTATGTCCTTGGTGACAGAAAGCATAAGATTTTGCAAGACTAATAACTTATTCATTGCATGTACCATTTTTCAACAACATAAACGCTGACTAGAGTCTTCGACATCAAATAATATAGACAAGAATAAAATAGACTGCTGTTGTTAGACACCTTTGAATTGGAACCAACTCTGCTGACATTGCAGGGGGTTTTCAGAGGAAGCAAACAACATGGGAGAAGATTGCTCATCTTTCTTCCACTGAGCAGCTGGTGGATTCAAACAGTGTGTCTTTACGTTGACAGAACAATTGCCACTAAGCCATCAAAGTTTCCACGATTGTGGAAAGAGATGATGGGGAAGCGCAATATCATCAGTCAGAACAAGGCTGGGCCAATAGCAGAACAGGTAGGACCTTTGAATATATCCCACCTGTTGTTGTTAAGTGCCATCAAGTCGCTTGCAACTCATAGTGACCCTATAACAACCCTAAAACCTGCTCTATCCTGTGCCAGTCACACTGTCTCCAACACACCTACGCCCCTTCCCCCAGTCACCGAATCAATCCATCTCATAGAGGGTCTTCCCCTCCTGCACTGTCCCCCCACTCTCCCAAGCATGATGTCCCTCTCCAAGGACTGGTCTCTCCTTGCAACATGACCAAAGTATGTCAGACGAAGCTTCAGAATCCTTGCCTCCAAGGAGCAGCCTGGTCTCACCTTCTCCAGGACAAACCTGTTTGTTTTCCTAGCAGTCCCTGGTATATCCCACATGAATTTAGAAATTATCACAAAAATAAAGATGACATATTGAACATAAATGACTAAATACCAGATGTGTCGAGGGGTTACATCAAGGACATTATACAGGAAGAAAGCAAAAGGTCATTAAAAATACAGGAAATAAAGAAAAGTTGAAAAATATTCTGAAACTTGCTCTTGAGTGTAGTGAATAAAAAGTGAAAGGAATCAACAAGGCAAAGAACAAGAACCATATGGTCCTATCAATTGATGCAGAAAAAGCCTTTGATAAAATCCAACACCC